ATACTTATAGTCCCTCATTTATCTAATATCCTAGAGACCGTATACCGGATATGGTGCTATCAGATCCAAACGATCTCTACTCGAGTCTCACTCTAATCGAGTTCTCCCGGATAACTCTTTCTCTCTCAATCTGAATGACATTGGCCAAGGATTTATCTGAACAAGAACATATGAGATATTCCTCTCATACACCGAGTGTGGATGATCCTCTATCGACACTCAATAGTCCTCGTAAGGTTGGCTACCACTCCCGATAATCGATTATGCTAGATCTGAAACCTCCAAACCTATAAGTCTGGTATCAAAGAATGAAGTACTTATATAGGACATCTTTGGTGTCTCAAGTCTAAGGACCAGATACACCACTGAGACTACAGAATCACTATTTGACAATAAGGCGTCATCAACTATCCAGCATTCCATAAGCGGATAAATTAGTAAACTTATTTCCCAATGAGTACCTGTATTGTATCCCTAGTGTCCCTACACGAGCAGCTATGAGACCAGCTGCATCCATCATATGGATGGGTATACAATACATCAGTCTGTCTGGTTATCTCGATGTCCCTCTCGAATAACCTATAACTGATATTATTTAGGATCTGTGTTTAAAGGCGAATCAGTTTCATTATCATGATCTTATCACGATCCGATTCTTATTGCACAGATCCATTGATGTCACAATATATTCAAGCAATAAACAATATAAAGTGATAAAATATCAAATAATAATAAGCAAAATGACTGTGTGTCAAGTCACACGTGTCATCACTCACGTGATTGGCTTGCAGGGTACCTATGACTAGCAATAATAACAGTGGCAATAGATAGCAAGGAGATTATTATTATTGGGGCGAACTCCAATGGAAGGGAAAGGTTGGTGGCGGGCGAGAAGAGCAGATATATGATGGTTGAATATTATAGATTTTGGATGAAGATTGCCAAGCAAAGTAATCAATATTGATGGCTAGTGTTCGTCGCTCACTTGTGAGAAAGATGGCAAATTTATAAAATAACTCCAGTTGATGTTTACGATAATAGTTTGCTCAAGGACTACCGAGTAAAAGATAAAATCGATAACTAGATAATCATTATGGCAGATCAGTAGAGAAGAGGGATTATTGTCATTAGACAGCAACGAAGGGTGAGTCTTGCTCGAGGCAATAGGAACTTTGATACCATGATAAATTGAGGAACTTATTGTGAAGACTAGCGATTTCATTTATTGAGGTAATATATATTTATATAGATTTTGAGAGAGTGATTTTCCTCATCATATACTCAAATTACTCAATCAAATCATGGACTCAAATCTATGATTAATCCTCAAATCATAAATTGATTGAAGATATAAGAAATGCAACGATGTCATTCCACATTTGCCATTATTATGATCTTCTATATATACTCATAATAAACTTGTTAAATGACATTTATTATAAGGACATAGCTGTTGGTAATCCCTTTCTAATATTAGTAATTTAGATAATAAAATATAATTTTCTAAATATAAATATTTAATTATAGATCATATCCTTATTTTTTACAACCCTCAATTATTATATTTCAAACCTGGAATATGGTATCTTATGGGTTATGTAAACTGACGCAAAAGATTACAGACGTTTGAAATATCATCTTATTAGTTTTTAACCATAAAAATATTATATCAATCTAATAAATATAAAAAATTATTCCTCTTCGATCTTTAGATCATCTCATTTGATTATTTTTTTTTCATCATTTTGCTTCATTAATAATGAAAGATAATCTAACAATTAAGATGATGATAATGATGATAATAGAAACAAGAGGAAGAAAAAGATATTTGTTTGGAAAGAGTTGAAAGAATTTAATAAAATTAAGAAATAAGTTAAGGATATTTTTGTCCATTTATAACGAGATATCTTAGAAATATTATAAGTTCTTAAAATAATATTATAAATAATAAAAATAAAATTGCCTATATAATTCTTTGTTCTTAAACTCTTTACTAGATTAAGAATCAAGTGGATTTTGTCGTGTACACCTCAGTATTCTTTTAACTAAGGAAAATACTAAAGTAAAATTTTGTTTCACGTATTGAGATTACCATTTATAGTTCAAATGCATGGAGATGAATTTCCAACTCTAATAAAAAAATAATTTTGAATAAATTTTTATCATCCATACAAATCAAGATCATGTCTCAATGTATGCCAATAGGTTTTTAATGGTTTTAGGGAAATAAAAATAATATGAAATAATTCAAAACAGTTATATAATTAAAAATATCGTTCAATTAAATCATTAATTAATGATTACAATATTTACTTGTGTCCAAAATAAATTATTAAAGCCATTGATTTCTAATGTAATTCCTAATCTAACTTTAAATTCGTTTCCACCTTTTTAAGATGAACCTATAAATTAATCCCACTCAATTTTATTTATTTTCTTAAAAGACCTAGGATGATATTTGATATAATAGGTATATTATTTATATTTAGTTTTACTAATATGTATACAGTGTGATATTTATTTTTGATAGTGATAGGGAATAAGATGATGTCAGCTTTGACATGCTAACTCACTTGATAATATACCGCCACCTAAGTAGTGACGAGGGCAAAAGGGTTTGCATGTTGCTCCTTCCCTGCAATGTACAACGGGGAAGCAACCTATCAACCCTTACTAGTCGTAAATTTGGGAAAGGTTGCACGCTCAACTAAATGGAGCATTAATCCTTGGCAGCGAGGCCAATCTCCCCCTTTTTTAGATACAAGATCGTAGGGTGCATTAATCCCTGACAATGAGGTCCAACTTCTCTCCCAACCGTGTGCTTGTAGGAAGCATTAATCCCTAGCGGTGAGGCTTATTTACCCCTTCGACAAAGGCGGCCACCATTCGTTTATCTCGCAGATATCATCTTGGACAAATAGTGCCCCTTTGGTTGTCCTTCACTAATAACACATCATAATGAAATATATCAATCAATCATCGACATAAATGAGCTCCTAAAGGACCATAGATTAAGGGAGGAGCCATTAGCCTCCTACCATCGGCCGTCCAAGTATAAAAGCCAACCCCCACCTAAAAGGGAGAGAGAAAAAAATTATAACTACCCTGATTCCCACTACTAACTTTACCATGGGGGTGTCGAGTCAGGAACTCCCCTGATGTTGACCTTTTGTGCAGAAACTACGGTGAAGCCAAGGTGCTCCTTGGTTCGACTACAAAATCCCAAAGAAGCCAAACCACCTCGACTCATCGTAGAATCCACCTAGGATAAACAAGTAGTATCTCGGAATCGTGTCAATCGATTCCCCCCACCACAACTAACATATAAGAGCACCACATGGGTTTCTAGGACGAGCTTTTGCCTTCGAGATAAGACCAAGCCATGTTGACTTCTTCATCGTAGTTGTAACAAGTAGTCTGTCATATACGTAATTTTTATATTTATTTAGTTTTTGTTATATGTCATGTTTTAGAGAGAGAGAGAGAGAATTCTATTATTCCACTCTTTTGATGCTCTCCTCTTGTCACAACCCGAGCTTGATGGGCTAACTGGCCTATCAACTTCGTTTGATCTAAACTACTAACCAAAATGCTTAAGTTGAAGTTGATAGTAGTATACTCATCAGATCTTGCCCAAGTCCAGCATGACCTAAATCAATCCCTAGCATAGTGCGTCAGTCGTAGTCCAATAGTGGACTCACGTCGTGGCGAGTCTTCTGACTCCACTCGGGCCTGATGGGCTAACTGGTCTTTTAATTTCGTTTGGTTTAAACCACTAACCAAAATGCTTAAACTGAAAATGATAATAATATACTCATCAGACCCTTATAAGTCAATCTTAATCTTGCTCACTTCCGATTTGGGACTAATTAGGGGTGTTATACCTCTCGTTGGTGCATCCACTTCGTCTTCCGTAGGTAGATGTATGCAGTATTGTTCTGCAATATGCGAAAGAAATCCTAACCAAAGATATTCCAGATTATATGCATCCTTTCTTTCACGCGAAGGGAAAGATAATCCGACAGGTATTCGGCTCAGATCTGATTCTTATACATATATGTAGACATCCGCGTTTCCTAGAAACAAGTATGATGAAGATGATGATCAATAGAATTACCGAGGACAGAGACAACTTGCCCTTCCTTTTGGTTGGGCATACACGACGACGAAGGTCCAAGCTGCTTATAAACGTGACCAAAAGCTAAGAGGATTGTTTGGTTCTTGAGATGCAACGCTTACGCCCTTCCATTTCGGATATATCATATCCGAAATTTAAAGAAAAAAATTATATGATCAGATTTAATCCTTGATAAAATACCTGTATTTTATACATGTATTACGTATTGTTTGTCTCCTTCCTGCAAAAGATTGAGTTCAATATTAGTTTCGTTTGCTCAGCATAGAATCAAACCTGAGAGGCTTCCTCATGTCATGTTAGTGTTGTGTAAGCCACGCCCGGTTGGTGCGTCTTAATCGACGGGATTCTCGATCCCTTAACTTTGAATACGGCCAATTCATTCACATCTGTGTGGAAATAGATGTTCCGCATGAGATATGAATCAAATAAAGCAATCACAGAAGCCTCATTCCACTCATCATCAATTATAAAGTAATTCTTATTTGCAATTTGAAACATCACAAATTAAGAATCTTATGTGAAAAAATATAAAGAAACACCGTTTATTGCTCATTACTTGTATGTTCGATAAGATCAGTCTTTAAGGCTACATATAGGAACAAGGAATCTTCAAACCAGGAGGAACTATTTAGAAGATACAGGTTTTCATTCAATAGATGGAAGACGACACTCCAAATGCAATGATAAAAGAGAAGACCCGCACATTGGTTTCAGGAATTACAGATTGATTGTAATTTATTGTACACATCTATATTACATTATTCATATAATGGAAAGGCAATTCCAAACACTTTAGTTTGTTACAATAGCCCCAGTCGTCAATCCTGTAAATTTTATTTTAGCCAGTTTTGGAAATTCTGAGTTAAATTATTCAACACATCTTTAAGCAAATATTTCAATATTTTATTCATCAAATTTCCTCAAAAGTTTAAACAAGAAGGGTAAATTTCTTTTTACAAAGCATCTCAATTGTACAACTCATAATCGAATATAACTGGATAGAGCCACTTGGGGAAACTAGTCACCCTCTGTCAATAAATAGGCTAAGGTGCATGCTTTACCTCAAAAATGCTACTCCTTTGCCCTGAAAAGATTCATAATGGCCATTATAAGGAATTTATTTAATGATTAAAACTAAGATTTTAAACTGCTGCCAAATAGGAAAATATATAAAACAATGTGTATTGTGACTAAGAGAATGAAACATTAACGCCGCTTGGATCTCTTCCAGGAAATTAAATGTTTCAGTTCTTGAATATATTGTATATTTTCCATCGTTAGACAGCTTGTCAATATTTTCTTTATATGTCCACAGCACATGGAAAACCAGCTTACAGCACTAAATTTATCCTACTCAGATGTACTTCATTGCAAGGGTCCTCTAGAAAAGAAATAACACACAACACTGATCCCATGGAACCATAACCTCCTCCCAGTCGTATATATCACCTTATGGTGCTAAACCAGTTACAGTTATTTAGAGTTGCTTATATACTGCTTTACTCCTGGAATACTATTCAGAAACAACATTCACCTAATATATACATATGATTGGTCAAGATAAATTAAACAAGTGATTAAAGTTGCCTCTTTTAGGAGGAAGTGATGAGGAAGTTCCCATTATGAAACAGAGGACTCAACATCATAAATGAGAGCTTCCCCAACAATAATTGGTCAGCTGCCATAACCAGGCCCTACTATGAATTCTTTTTGCTTCTCTTGCTAGAAGATAAGCTAATTTATTGCCACTCCATCCTTGGGTGATTGAACCTAATATATGAAAAACTAAGATATCTCTGGCTATTGTTCATCAAAGACTTCTCTACCTAAGGTTCCTCAGACTGCTCATTTAAGAAAAGACTCAACAACGCCATTTATGAATCAGAACAATTTAACAGCCCAAGCAACCTCACTGAGACCATGATCACCTGTCCATTAAATTCTCTTGACACAAGTCAGTCCAGTACCATCTGAATCCGATGTTGCAGAATTCAGATTCACCTCAAAAGAATTTTGGAGGAAATCAATGCATAATCTACAATATTATTGAAGATTCAACTAACTCCAGATTTTCTTTTTGATAGTGCAAAACTAGTGTTTTTAAAAGCTAGGCACCAAAAGACGCCAAGGTCCCAAAACGCCCAAAGTCCGCTTGAGCGAAACAAGATACTCTAGAATATAAAAATATAAAAATATAAAATACAATTGATAAATATGATTATATAAATAAAAATATGACATTAAATTAAATTTTTTTATGAATCTTTTGTATCGCTTTGTACACTTGTCATTAATCATGAAACCCTAATAACAGTTCTAAATAAACAAAGATTAACAATGCTAAATAGGGACTAATAATAATTTTAAATAGCAATTAATAGTGCTAAATAAGGATTAGTAATTCTAAATAAGAATCAGTTCTAAATAGGTCAACAGTTCTAAGGATTTATATCAGTTTTAGTTTATTATATGATAACAGTAGTTTGATAACAGGAACTTTCGGACGATGGTAATGGCGGTAGAAGAAGCTACGGACGACCACAGTGGAGATAGAGAAAGCTACGAACAATGGCAGTGGCAACGGAGGAAGCTACAAACGATGACATCAGGGGCGAAGAAAGCTTCAGATGTGTCTACTGGTGATGGAGAAAGTTGTGGTCCTATCCCTCGGCGTTGGAAAGAGCTACACACAGAAGCAACGATGGCAGAGGGAATTGCACACGAAAGCTACAATAGCGAGAGCTTCGGACCCATTCGTCGACGGCAGAGGAAGCGTCGGACCTGTGTGTCGACAACAGTTGCACACAAAGGCAACGGTAGGACTAGGGCAAAGAAGTACCTAGTGTTTATGGGGTCAAGGTTGCACAAGGGAGAGGGGGAGAACGGGTGTGGTTTACTATTACTATTTACTATGCTTAGATGGTTCGATTGAACCAACCAAGTTACTATTCAACTGAACCAAAGTTGACCATTTGGTTCGATTGCTCACCTTTAATCGGGCACTTGCCCGAGGCGCCTAGCGCTTCGACTAAGGCGAGCGCCAAGGAAGCGCTTCATTGAAGCACGTCGCCCGACAACTGCGCAAGATGCTTGAACCTCGCCTCACCTAAGTGCATGTTTAAAACACTGTGCAAAAGTATAGACACAACAAATTAGAAGAGCAACATAACTTCTAGTGTGTTTTTAAAATTCTGATCTATTATCCCATGGTCACTAAATTTCTTAAATCAATGGAAACCAAAATAACGATAAAAAAGATGATTAGTGATATAGCTAAAAGTAGTGTAGCTAACATGACCTCTGATAATGAAGTAAATTTCAAATTATTTGGCAAATTATTCGATGAAAAGAGGCAAACCTTGTATTTGACTGTCTCAATATATTGATTTGATGTTAGAGGATATGTATATGTATTCTATTAGTTCGGCACAGGCAATAAAATTTATCTACAATCATGATGGTTAACTAAGCATAGTGATTTTAGACCTAACATTACCTGTTTAGCACTAATTTTTTTGCTATGGAGACCTGAAAACATATCCCAATGAGGAGCAATCAGAAATTTAAGAAAAAACTTGAACAGACAAGAAAGAGTGGTAATATGTAAGACCTTCTAGATGTTGAGTTTCCAAATATAACTATGAGTTGCATCTAGAGCCTTAAAAAGGTACTCACCTAAGAATCAAATAGTATCTTTATTTGACCAGCATTTCCATGAGATTATTAAAATTAATGTGACGTGATTCTGTTGATGCAGGATTAAGTGTGCTAAAGTCAATTTTATATTAAATGAGTCCACCAAGTTCTAGTTATGATCAAAGATGAAGAGCAAATCATTGCCATGAGTAACACAGTATTGTCAAAACTCAAAACCACTTAGTAGTTAAAGTAGCTCAACCTAGACCTCCAAAATCATCTAACTATGGAAATTTCACAACCGAATAGGTTACTGGAGCCTAGGCTAATCCAATCTGGGTGGTACAAGGATGCATCATTTGGAAAATGACATCATAAATGAAAATTTCAGTTATGATAAATCAGTATATTGTGATACTATCAACAAGCACAAAGAAAAAAGGAGAACAAGTCTTGACAAACCTTGTAATATATGAGTCGTCGGTTGTATTAATAATGATCTCCTCACCAGTTTCAACAAAAGGTGGTGCCTATGAATTGCAACAAAAGAGTATAGCATCACAATCAGACAAATAACATAACTCTATAAATTGTGGTGCAAAAAAGAAAAAGGTGAATTTACACCGATTGTAGAATGAAACATAATATGATAAAGTTAATGTCCAATCCTATAGAAAGCAAAAAATCACCAAAAAGATCAGACCATTGAACATATTGCTAAATTTATGCAGCAAGTATTTTTCATACATAAAGAAGTGAAATAACCCACTAACAGCAAAGAAGTCTAAATAAATAGATTATGCTGTAACATGAATGATAGCCTTTGCCAAAGTTTTCAATTTTCGATACCAGAGCCAGGCTGGTCGTTGCCGGAACTGGTAAGGGTCCAAACCGAACCAACGTATCATGTGTTGGTATTGCCGGTATGTACCAACTTTTGAAAAAAAAGACTAGAAAATTTTTTTAAAAATGTAAATGATCATGACCAACCAATCTTATAAATGACTTGTGCTGATCAAGCAATATAGCTAAACAAACATGTCAATGACAAAATTTAGGACTCAATATAACCAAATTTACAAATCTCAGTCCACACTGTTACTAGCCAGCAACCGGACCAATACAATGCTGAACACTAAAATACTGCCAAAACAACCGAAATAATCCCACAACAACAACAAAAACTTCATTACTTGAACATTTTGTTGTTTTGTCGTCAGAATGTTTTTTTGTACTAATTTGCAAGGTAGTGAAGTCTGCAATATCCTACAGCCTCGCGGCTTGTATTTGACTCTTACACCTGTACAAAGTCTATCCATAAGTTAATCTGTCAGATGATCATGGCATAGGCCAAACTAGTTGGAAACAACCCCAAACCGATGTGTCATGCAAGGGATCTCAGAGCGGTGCAGATGAAAAAATATCAGTCGTCTCTGCCCCCTTGAATCCCCCAGGTGGACAAGAGGGGATGGGCATCCGAGGTAGCCCCTAAAAGAGTGGTGAGAGATTTTTAGTGGATCCCCTTCCCATTCGCTTCCAAGTGCTTGATGACCATCGAGCACTGACCTACCACTCAAGACCCCTTGTTTGTTGAATCTCGGATTTTG